CCGTTCGCGACCCTACTTTCCTCCCACGCCAAAAAACTCATCGCTTTCTACAACTTTATTTTCCCCCGGTGCTCCTCGTGGAACTCAAAGATTCATATTTTCACGGAACGCCGTAATCTCGCGTAATTGTCTGTTTCCTCGGCGCGGTATTCAGCAAGGACAAAAACGGAAAGAAGAAAAGAAAGGAGAGGAAAGAGAAATTGAAATCTACATACCGTCGTCAGCCTTTTCTTCGAGATACGAAACGCTTCTGGGTCTGACTTATCGTAAACGCCCACCACTGTAATTCTGAACCTCTTGACGCACTCGATCGAGTTTCGAGGTCTTTTTGATTTCGAATTCGTACGTTAAGAGTTTCGTTCTATTTAATTACCGTTTCAACGCAATTCCTATTCCCGAACACGATAGTGTCCTGGGTTTTGCGGTTCTTTACGAAGGAATGCTGCATAAAGCGTTTGCGCAGCCGATGCATGTCAGGGTTCCAGCGAACGCGAAATAGGTTCACGGTCGAGAGGTAGGCGGGGAAACGAATTTCAGAGCAGATTAGTTTAATAGCGGCGGCAAGAAAAGCTTTGTGGTTAACGAAATTTACAGAAGCGATGGTCGCGCGCATTCACGCGCTGTGAAACATTTCCGTGGCCCTGTCAAACGGAACTTGGGCTCTTCTTGTGCATGCGCTTATACGCGTGCAGCTCGTATTCCCTTTGATGCGAGCCCTCATGACTCTAATCTGAAGTATGCTATATACACGCGGCCGTTCGGAGCACATCAGCCTCCAAAGGAAGGATGTCGTAAAGGCTGTGCGCCGCGCGGCGTTCACGGTCCGCCAGTATCGAGCCTGAAATGTTCCGTCCGAAGTTAATCGTTTATCACGCGAACTGTGAACGATCGGAGCTTCTGTTACCGGCGTTCCGATCATATTCGAATTTTCATGGCTCGCACGTGACCCGCCAGCAGCGTACAATCGATTCCCGCGAGAAACACGAGCGCGATGACACGCACTTCGGAATTAACAATAGGACCGTTCTAACAATCCATGTAATTGTTTGTAACGCGCAAGATCCCAATTTCGATTGCGTTGAAGCGCGGCATGATCTCGATAAATATCGACGATACTTTCCGCACTGTGAATAGACGAGTTCATCATTCTAAAATAGACGAGCGCACGTTACAAACGGAACAAGTAGAAACAACCAACCAGAACAAATCTCAAACCTCTTTTCAAAAGAACATTTCACTGGACATCGTTCATTCGCACACGAAGACTCGACCCATTTCCGATCGAATGAAAATCACATTGAAACCCCGTATAACGTACCACTCGAGAACCGGAGAATTACTTTGCTTTATGGAAAACAGGTCCGCGCGAATATCCGGTCGCGCAATCAACAATCGCGAGCGGAACGGTTATCCCTGCAGGCGCCAGCCTCCTCATATTTCAATCACCGACAAAAGGAAATGTCGCAGTTTGAGATTACAAGCGACCGTAACGGAATCGACGGGGACGATATTTAAATAAGACGTCAACGACGCCGTCGCCGATTCAATTTATCGGGGACAGTATCGGCGAAAGAATCGAGAACGAAACGCGACGGAGAATCTGATTAAAGT